CATTGGTGTAATGGAAATTAACCCGTATTTGCTGGGTCATGCCTATAGCAAACAAACCAACTCCTCATGCCGGTTACAGCCATAGGTGTTGCAACACGCTAGAGCACGTTGATTGGAAAGTTCAGGCAGGACTTTTGCCGGAAGTCACCAGAGTCGGTGACACTGAAAGATTTTTGATACCATCATTGAGGAGTTAAAATGATTTTAGCATTTAAAGCATATTTTCCAAAGATCAGAAATTAAGTAGAAACATGTCACTGTATATAGATGCAACTATGGATAGATCCTAGGGTTGCCAATCTGAATATATGATACACCAGACAATAAAGATATCCAAGGTGTTGAGTACACTTGCATTGCATAAGTGCTAGTGACAATTATTCCTTGGTAAAGCAAATCTATTCACCTGATCTTCCATTTGTACTGCTTATGAGTGCTGATTATTTTGGTGGATTGGACATTTGCAGAGAAGCTGAAGGTTTTGTTATTTTTTAAGTCACAAGTATAATATGATGCAGTTGATTTGCATGATTATTTATGTACCTTTGTTATTTTCCAACAGCTGCCTAGCGTTAGCGTCAAGGACGTCAACCAGCAACAATTCACCAGGGCTTTTGCCAACTTCCTGAAGAAGTAAGTGGATAGATTGCTATAGTTTGGAAAGGCTTGTGAAAAAAATGAATAAAAAATAAATGTATACATATACATGTGTATACATACATACATGTATACATAATTTGGTAATTTCAATTTCATCTTAAAAGGCAATATCCTTTTCAGGTCTGGCAAGGTGAAGGTTCCAGAATGGTCTGATCTTGTAAAGGTATGTGCAGTTGGATTTCAAAACAGATTGATAAATATAATGAAAATTAACATTCAAGATATTGAGTAATCTCTAAATCTGTATGGCTATTACTTTAAGTGTTTTTTGAGTCGCTCCAGCTGATGCTATAAATTGATACATTTTCAGACTGCCAGCTTCAAGGAGCTTGCCCCATTCGATGATGACTGGTTTTACACCAGGGTGGCTGCTCTTGCCAGACACATTTACATGCGCTCCCCCGTTGGAGTTGGTGGCGTTAAGAAAATCTTTGGAGGTGAGTTCACATAAGGATTGGAGTAATGGAGATAATGTATAATCTAGTCTAAGTATTGATACCTTCTGTTATGCCAGATAGTAACTATCCAAGGCGTTGAGTATGCTTGCATTACATTATGTAGGCGAGAATTAGTCCTTGGGAAAGAAACTTTGTTCATCTGATACTTCATAGTACTGCATGTGCATACTGTGGTACATTGGTGAATGGGACATTATAGTCTTTTGGTCTAAAAACAGTGAGAAATTGATCTTGTATGACGATTGTAGATTTTCTATCAAACTTTTAACTTTCTTGATACTTCGCTAAGAAAATGACGCTAAGTGTGGTTATTCTGTACCAACGTTGATAAAACAACTTGAAACTAAATTCCTTTTACATGTATCCATTTAATTTCCAGTTGTACCCTGCATCTGATTTAATCCCCCCAACTAAATGACCCTCTCTATCTCTGTGCAGGTCGCGTGAACCGTGGTAGCGCCCCCTCCCACTACGTCAGGAGCTCTGGATCTATTGCCCGCAAGGCCCTCCAGACCCTCGAGTCTCTGAAGCTTGTAGAGAAAGGTCCCAATGGTGGACGTCGCCTGACCTCCCAGGGACACAGGGATCTGGATCGTATCGCTTCCCAGATTAGAATTAGGGTCAAGTCCACCAAGTTCACCAAACCCAAACCCAAGGTTGTAGTCAAGAAAACTAAGGGCAAGACCGGTGGCAAGTCTGAATAAACATTTGTTGACTTCAAAGGCTTTTTATTGCCACTTTCTAAAGCATAAAGTTTTAAACATTTGTGTCCCATTTCTCTCCATTAGAAATCAAGATTTTTCATGAGATGTAACTGAATTGGTCTACCATATTTCTGCCAAGAAATATAATGCAAATGAGACTTTGAGATGTTAATACCTCAATTATTGGAATAGGATGCTAATCTCAGGAGTAGGCTTTATTACATCTAAGGTTATGAGCGGGGTATTCAAAATATAGCAATAGTGCGAGGCTTGGGTGCAAAGCCCTCAATAAGGGAGTAGCGAAAAGGTGAATATCGGCTAATGATTTGGAGAAGGGAAGGAAATGGAAGGAGGAAGAAAAGACCTTGCAAAACTAGTTGGGCATCAATCTTCTCAGTCTCACTGTGTGTGTGTGTGTGTGTGTGTCCGTGTGTGTGTGTGTGTGTGTGTGTGTGTGTGTGTGTGTGTGTGTGTGTCCGTGTGTGTGTGTGTGTCCGTGTGTGTGTGTGTGTGTCCGTGTGTGTGTGTGTGTGTCCGTGTGTGTGTGTGTCCGTGTGTGTGTGTGTGTGTGTCCCCACGGCAATAATGAGCAATGGTTTGGGGGGTGGTACTAGTAGGTTAGTGAAAAGAGTAGAAATGGAGTATAGCATAAGGTAAAGTTTAGAAAGGAAAGAAATTAAAGGAGTAGGGATTGTAGGGGGGAAAAGCAAAGAGTACTCAAAAGGTTTGCAGAGGTGGGAGGAGGAGGAAGGATGTTATGGGGTGAGGTAGTGCTATAGGGAGGGGGACAAAAAGGATGAGTAGTTGTAAGGGGGACGGGAGTAGACTAGGAGATGGAGTAGAGGCTGTTGGGAGAGAGGAAGGGGTGTATTCTGAAAGTTGAGGAGGGGTATTAGTATCAGTGGTCGGAGTTGTGGCCAAAGGAAAGGCAGGGGTTGGGAAACCATAGAAATAAATTTAGGGAAGTACTTAATGAAGGAGCCAAGCCTTCATGACTTTAATAAGATTTTTAAAAAATAATTTTAGACCCTGGTGAGCCTGAAATGAATGATGGAAAAATGGTCTACTCTCAGCCCCCCCCCCTAACGCGTAAGGGCTAGACGATTAACCAAGGGAATACCATGCCCATGGCTCCCGGAGGCCGTTCATGACTGACACAAAGCCTGCCTTTTAACCTTTCAGCACGGCCCGCACCTTAGGAAGTGGACAGAAGACAAGGAAAAGTAAAGGGGGAGAAGGAAAAGACCCTGTAGAATTTGTTGGTGAGAGCTGAGGGTCATGGTAGTGGTGATCCCTTACATTAGCCCCATGACTACACAGTCATGTCAAATTCTATAAAAAAAAAAAATCTATTATTCTCGTGACAGAAAATAGTTGATAAAAAAGATCTGAAACAGGTCTGTAAACTAGTTAAAGAAAGTTTCGCAGTCAATGCGAGTTTGGGGGAATAAAAAATAACCTACTTCCGTTTGGAAGCTATTCGTAATTTTTGCAAGTATTTTTTTTTATCCACATGTACTTAAAGTATAAATGTGAATGAACAGGCATTATTTCTTTGGATTTTTTTTTTTTTTTTACTACGGTAGCGAAGTAAAAACTTGAAGCTAGTGTTTGCTGCCGCAAGTCGCCCAAATGTTAATTCATTGTTTGTAATTACACAAATCAAAATAAATGCGAATAGAGTAAGTAGGTGCTCCCTTGCGTTTCGTTGGAAAATGCGGAATACTTTGGTGCGCTACAAAGAATACGCTCAAACGGAACGTTGAAATTGTGCGCTTCGTAGCGGGTCGCGGGCACGAGTAGAGATGGCATCACCGGTGGACAAACTACTCATTCAACAGACTACTCATTCTCTCGCGGTTTTCTCGCCTATGACATCAACTTCATAGTTACTTGTGACCATACCCGCCTGTGTGGACAGGCCCTTAGGTAGACAGCCGTTATTTGTAGGTTTATATTTTCGCGTGACCCCCCTTGCTCTTTAGTGCCGGGGGGGGGGGGGCTTAGGATGGGAGACGGGCCAATTGTAGATCAATTTTTTTTCTCCCTCTTTCCTTTTCCTTCTCTTCATCTCTTTCTTATGTCCACTTATCCAAATCGTTAACTGATATTTACCCTTTTCGCCATAATACTTTACCATAATGTTGAGTGACCTTTGAAGTCTGGCACATTAAGTTGTCTTGACCAGTGACTATTCTGGAAATCCACAAACATCGCTTTACTGAACCAAAAAACTTTGTTTTAACCAGGGGTCTTTGCCCTACATCGCCAAAGACCATAAATGTTGACGCGACAGAAAATGTTCAATAAACAAATAACATTTTTTGCGGGGACTTAAGATACAAGTAGTCATTAAAACCTGTTCACAAGGCCTCCCCACGTCAGGAAATAGCTGCGGTTTATGAACCTCAGCTTTCACTTTCATTTCCTATTGTAAATATAGATGATTTAATAACTATATGGATATAATACTGTCGAGAGAAAGTATATGTGGTTACAATAATTCATCATTGTAAAAAAGAAGGCAACTGACAAAATATAGTTGAATTTAACATCTAAGGAGAGGTGTGAACACTGGAAGTAGTAGAAGTAGTGGTAGTAGTTCATGGGCATGTATATTTCTGCAAGGTCTTGTTTAAAAATTGCAGATCCAGTGACGTGATAATTCATTTGGATTTTTAAATATGTTTACTCACTATATTCTTAACTTAGTATAGTGAACACATAAATGTTAATACTTATGACATTAAAAAATAATAAAATAAAAAATAAAATGGGTAATACTGCAGGTCTACAAAATCTGTCAGATTTACGCTGTTATATGTATCTGGCAACTCATTGTGTAAGTTACCATTTGTCATGCCCAATGAAATTTACTGTTAAGGGAACCTTGTATTTTATGTGTAACTGTAGCGTATGGGAATAAATAGGCACCGTTACTCATAGTCTTTAAAATCAATGTGGTTAAACAATACACTAGCAATGCAAATAATAAGCAGAAGAGGAAGATAACACAGTTACTGGCAACCGACACGGGTGAAAGACAGCCGACTACACCATAGCCTTCAACAAGAGCTTCGGCTGAGTGGTAGTCACGCAGGATTATCTGCGCCAACGCTAGTTTCTTCTTGGATTTTAGGAGAGTACGTAAGGTTTTTCTTGTATGAAATTTAGGATA